TCAAAGTTTCAGGAAAAATAATGCATACTGGGAGCAACGCGCGACCCCTAAAGGTGACAAATATTTCATTGCGCGCGGTGGATTAAATGCATCATTGATTTTAGCGTGACCGATCTCATGTAAGGCTGGGCAAATGAATAAATTAAAGCGAGAAACTGAACACAAAAACAAAGCGATTTATTCGTGATGTTAATCCTCAGCATGTCCAACATTTCATTCTAAGCAAACTGCGGCTTGTTTGAGCATACTAAACACTTAACAGCGAACCATTTTTCTGCCCATTCGCCTAGATTTGCTGGTGGTAGCATAGGAGATTTGCAAGAAAGAATTTCGAACAAAATGGATAATTTGAGGCAGGACAGACAAATGTGGTTTGCCATTCAGTGTTTACCATGCTCAGACGAGCCGCAGTTTGCTTAGAAAGAAATATTGGAAATGTTGAGGATTAACATCAAGAATAAAAATCTTGTTATTAAATCGCTTCGTCTTCTTGTTCAGTTTCTCGCTTTAATTTATTCATTTGCCCAGCCTTACATGAGATCGGTCACGCAAAAATCAACGATGCATTTAATCCACCGCGCGCAATGAAATATTTGTCACTTTTAGGGATCGTGCATTGCTTCCAGTTTGCATTATTTTTCCTGAAACTTTGACAGTTTATTAAAAAGCTTTCCTAATTTTAGACAGCTAAATAGTATCTCAATTTCAGCTTCACATTTTCATGCGCAAGCCCTCTCAATATCAGGGGAAAGGAACCACCCCCTCCCGGTAACATAATTTTGTTAATGAAAAACCAAACTTGGCCTAGGTATACCAGATAAGTCTTAACTATCTCTAGGAACACAAAAATTTGCCAAATTCTGCAAAATATCTTGAAAAATGGAAATTTTACATTTGGGACATTTTTTTTGACACACCCTGTATAGTGTGTGTATACACTGCAATCACTGCATGAATTTAATAATCGAAAAACAACATTCGATGTTCACTGCTTGGTTATTTATATTATTTGGGCTGTTTTGATGTTTTGAAGGTTTAGCTATAATGAAGTATTAACTCTCACTTAAACTGTGAAAGTCTATAACTTAATGCAACGGAAAGCAGCAGGAAAATGGGTGATTTCACTTCACCTTTACGACTGTGTTTGTTTCCGAAATATTTGAAACATCAGCTATCGGCTTTACATTTAGGACATTTCATAATATTGAAGGTTAGGTCTGGCTAGCTCAGGAAATATTTTGCTTCGTTTGAAATGGCAAGGGGCTGCCGAATGCATTTCTAGTTAATTAAACAAGTTACTATAAATGACCCAATATTTCAATGCTCCTGTCTATTGTCTTTATCAGGGGTGAACTGCAATGGTAACGAGACCCCAAGATACTAAACAGGAGTGTCATGAATAGGAACTTCTTAAGTTACATTCAATTCAATCACTTGATTGCTGTGGGCTTGTTACCATTCAAAGACCCTATTAGGCATTATATTAAAATGTTTTACATTTTTTAAATTACCTGGCTGTTTTGGTTTTATGTTACCAATCTATATTAATAAAAAGATAACAAGATGTTATATACTAGTTAATATTTTCAATCAGATACACTGGCCGAAATTGTTCAAAATAAACTATGTACATTAGATACTGATTGCATGGTCACCACCAAGTTGACAAGCAGGAGCTAGTTTATAATATCAGTTTGACCATCAGTCTTTATATTGACAATTGTGTACTAAAGTCAATTATTGTTTTTAAAATAGCAATACCTAACAATTAATTAAAACACTTTTAAATACCTTTGCCTTTGTTTGGCACTCATTTGTTCCAGTGTCAAGCCACTGCCGAGAAATGACAACTGAAAGTTTATCCCCTCCACATAGTGATACATCTTGATCTTACAAATTTATATCGACATACTCTTGAAATTCTTTATCGTATTTCTGAATCAGTATATTGTCAATATCTTGTTGGATTGAAAAATTGGTTTTGATCCTTGCCAACAAATCCTCCTTTGGGTTTAAAACCAGCACTTTTTGCTGGGACCATACTGAACAATGATCTAGGAATATTCCTATGCAAAATATTCAAATTTTAAAATATTGAATATATTGATCTTTCGCGTTGACGGTTAAAATATACAAAAAATTAATTCACACAATAATGTATAATAATTTTAATACAAAAGTATTACTGTATTATACCTTTCTTCCTTCTGTGGCCTCACTTGTCTGTTGATTCTCGGCCATTTTTTTGGCAATCCTCAGCTGGATTTTGTTTCAGAAAAATTTCAGACTGCTGCAAAGTTCGCTTTCTTTGAATCATACCAAGTGCCCAATAAGAAAATCTGGGATGCAATGCAAAGCGGTAGACCCATTTGTTATCGATTTTCTCCAAATATTTAATCAGATGCTGAACTTTATTCAGAAAAGGAATTTCATGCAATAAACCTGGATTGGTTGGATTACCTTTGCCATCAGGAAGTAATGAAGGGAATGCCATTGCACCTAAAAATGGTGTACTATACTCGTTCAATGGTTCATTTTCTATTGTTGGCCAACTTATTTTTGCAGTGCTTAAGGAATTTCTTATAGCATCATTCTCAAGCTTGGTTATTGATGTTTACAGGTAAAAACTACTACTTGTTTTTGTGCGATCAAATATATTTTCATCAACATCGGTACATTTTCTCACATACAGAGTTTATATCATTTGATGCTGCTGTCTCTAACTGCATTAAGTCAGTAGGCACTCCATCACACGGCAACTGGGCAAGCACACTTTCCTTTATAGAAATATTGTGATACAAAGGGTTGTGTTGAACCAACCGAAACAAAGCACTCTCAATCTTTTGCTTTCTTACAGTTACATCTTTGAAACTATATGAATTATTTCCTTTCATTGTTACAACAATCATAGGTATATCTTTAGGGCATCTAGGCAGACAATCAGCAAGTTTTTCAACCTTTTATGGCAAGTTTATACAATGACCACTATACCCTCTTTGACCACTTGCATTGACAAAAATCTTCATTTTGGATTGACAATCCAAATTTGACTTGCATGGCCAAACCTCATTGCATACAATACATTGTTTAATTACATACTGGACAGATTTATATGGCGTTCCGATCCGGTCAAAATTACATATATTGTTTAATCAATCTCGAAACATTGATGCAATACATTCGAGTTCAAAAAAGTATTTTGAACCACTCAAGCATGTCATCAAAACGCCCAAAATAATGAGTTGCTCAAGATTTTCAAGGATCAGATTTTTATTTACTAGGTTTGAGTTTGTGAAGTCTGTAGGAAGCGGCATTTCAAAAGTGAAACTTCCTGCAGGTCAAGAGGCAAATGCTAAAATCATTCGGCACATTTCAGGAACAGGGCCAATTTACATTTGTTCTTTGTTAAAAATTGATGATGATGATGAGGTACTGCAATTTTTTGTCTTGAAAAAACGTTCGCATTAAGCTCCCCTAATACAATTGCACCAAAAAAGAACAAAATTTGCAATGATCCCTGAGCGGGCGCGGAGCGCCTGCGAGGGTACTAATTCCGCTCTGAGATTAGGAATTACACCCAGAATCCGGTAAAACATAGGCGAATCCAAAGTTGTCCAAATTCTTTGTCATGGACGGTCGACGTTGGGTGGTTTTGTAACTTATGCGCATGCACGAGTAACGTCTGGTAATCAACAAGCGTTCTGATTGGCTAAGACAGAAAGTTTGTATTTCAATGAGAACGTCAGCAATTTATATTAACTGTCGTTTCGTAAACATTTTTGTAAAAGCGTTTCATAAACTTTGTGCAAAGAAAGTAAAACGAGAAGAAACAAGATATATGAAGCATGACAGTTAGCAAAGATGAACGTGAATATGGTCAAGACAAAGCCGTGTAAGAGGAATAATTCATAATCTGCAAACTTATAAATGTTTTCAAAGATAAAGGGTACGTGTTTACTTTGTTTATTTCGTATTTGTTTCGCGATAAGAATGAGCCGTATTTGTATACTTTTCAGCTTTGTATGCCGTTTATTTGTTAAATTTTCATATGCAAACGCATAAACCTGTGAAAGGCTATTACACCTTTGCTTTAACTTCAAAAAGTGTTTTTGAAAGTGTAATTTGAATTTTGGTATCAAAAATACAGACTAATTCACTATATTTATAAAGTATAAAACTTTTAGCCGCCGGCGTCGACTGCAATTACATAATAAAATAACATTTGAAGTTTTTTCTTTTTCTGTGATCAGATTTTGTACTGTTTTAATCGTTTGAAACTTCGATTTTAAACCATTACTTAATTGCATTAATGGCATGGTATAATGCAGCAAAATTGAACGGGCAATGTTTACACTAGCTTTATGCTTATGTTTGTATTGAATGATGGAAACATTAGCTTTAATATATTTACTTTATTTCTACTCTCACACTGGTTGGAAAGCGTTTGTTTAACTTTAATAACTTCAACTCAACGCATAGTTTCGAATATATATGTTTCTCTATAAATTTACACTCATCGCTCTCATACAATGGCTCAAGCACATGTCCAGTCCCGGCATGCAATACCTTTTCAAGATAAATATCCTATTTATCCTAATCATGTCCCTAAGTCCATAAATATCCTACACTCCTCACCGTTGACCATGACTTACAATGGTCAACTTAACTGTTCCCTATTTTAAAGTAACAAATGTTAACAACGTTAGTTAATATCTATAAACGTCCCGATTTGATGAGTTCATGTCTCTTTGATTCTGCATTCCTTGCTGCTTCACGTGCTGGTCGCCTCATCAATCCCACCTTCTCGTTACCTTTTTCGGTAGATTTCTCAGTTTTGTCTCCTTCTGTTTCAAATTCTTCATCGCCTCCCGATAACTCAATTTTTGAATTGGACGTCTAATTTCTGTACATTTTTCTCCCCCTTTTGTTAATTTCCTAACTACCGCTCCGCGAATAGCCCCATCCTTTCCTTCGATCAGTTTCTCTATTTTACCGAGTTTTCACTTTACTCTACACACGTTCTCTTCGTGTATAACTACAACATCTCCAACCTTAATGCCATTTCCCTTTTGTTGTTTTGTTTTCTGTCGGTGTGCATTGCGCAATTCAAGCAGATACTCATTCTTCCATCTCAACCAAAAGTGTTCCTTTAAAGTTTTATAATACAATACTCTTCTTTCAGCTTTATTGTTAGTTATTTCTTCAAGTTCCGATTCTACACCTGGTTTACCTGCGTCCGGCAACGAGTTTATTCTTCTTCCAGTTATCAAGTGCGAAGGTGTAATTGGTTCGTCTAGATCCTCCGTAGATACATATGTTAACGGTCTCGAGTTTAGTGTTGCTTCTATCTCCGTAAGTACGGTGTAGAGCTCTTCGTTCGTGACTCTGGCATTTTTTAGGATCTTGTATAAACATCTTTTCACACTCTTAATCAGCCTCTCGAAGAAACCTCCCCACCATGGTGCCTTCTCAAGGTTGAATGTCCATCTTATTTTTTTATCTGAAAGGTATTTCTTCACTTCCGGAATTTCGAATAGAGCTGCTAGTTGGTTTGAAGCCGCTTTAAAAGTTTTTCCATTGTCTGATTTTACTTCTCGGGGTATTCCTCGACGTGCCGTGAATCTTCTAAAACTTCGTATGAATGCTTCTGCAGTCATGTCGCTTACATCATCCAAGTGTACGGCCTGCGATACAGCACAAGTGTATATAACCATGTAAACCTTCACCATTGTTTCTGTTTGTTTCACATAGAGCGGTCCGGCAAAGTCGACTCCTGTGTATGTGAAAGGGTGTTCTTTGGTTATCCTGAATACTGGTAATGCTGGTGTATCCGGCGGTTTGTAAACGATTCCTTCCTGTCGTTGACATATTGTACATTCATGTACTGGTCTTCTGACGTATTGACGACCTTTGACTATCCAAAATAACCCGATAAGACCCATCCTAACTTTGTATGAATAGCAGCTGGTCCTGATTCTCCTCTGGCCACTCCCCCTGTTACTAAGTCCCAATATTGATCGGCCCCCACTAGGACATCAATTGAGGCGTGTCCCTCTCAATCATCAACTAACTGTAAATTTGACAGATGTGGGTAACTCTTCACTGCATGCTTCAAATATTGCCCTTGTACTGGGGCACCAATTATTGGCACACTGATAGCTGATAATTTGACATCATCTTCTCCGTCCACAGAGATACACAAATCCACTATATCGTATACCTGAGTGGTTCCACTACTTGACCCAAATGGCTTAATTGTCAATGATTCTGAATGTGAGGTTACTAAGTTCATTTCATTTTTAACTCTTTCAGTAACATATGTTCGCTGACTCCCTCCATCAAGAATTATTCTTGCTGTTTGTTTTTGATGTGGAATATCCGGTCTATATATTGTCGCCTTAGCTGTCTGGAGTAGAACCGTGTTCTTCGTGTTGACACACATTGTTGTGGACTCTTCAGGTGGTGCGTTTTCATTGTTCTTTGGGTCTTGCCTTGTGCTGTTCTCTGCTCTATTCTGTTTTTCGCGTTCTCCAGTTTGTGACTCAAATTTCTTCATCTCTTCTCTGTGTGTTTCTTTTCCTGGGGAACAAATGCTAGTGTGATGTCTTCCGTGGCACTTACCACAACATATTCTTGATTGGCAGGTTCTGCTTATATGATTTTTCATGGTACAAATATAACAACGGCCATTACGTTTAAGGATTTCCTTCCGTTTGGTAACATTTGTGACTACTGAACAGTTAGTTGATAAATGAGGTTGAGCACAGTAAATACAAGTATGGTCTCTATTTCCAGTAACCACAAATGCTGATGTTGTTGTAGGATCTTTGTGAACAAAATATTTCCCACGATTCCTTTGTTTAAATTCCTCCTGAGTGTTGTTAGTCGCTGCTACTATTTCACATTGTTCTCTGTTTGTTAGTTCCTACTTAAATTGTTTTAGAACTGATTTAAAATTCCATGACTCTTCCGATACCTTGCTACATATCTCTAATCTGATTTCCTTTGGAATTTTGTTCAACATCAAGGGTAGGAACAATTCACCATATTGTTCTGGTTTACATCCCAGGGATTCTAATGCCCTCATATGAGCATCGATGTCGTTGCTCAATTGTCTCATAGCCTTAAGATCTTTCCCATTTGAAATTGCTAGTAAATTTACTAATGAATCCATGTGGGTACTAATAATTTTCTGAGAATTTCCGTATCTTTCCTTCAATAATTTAACTGCACCAGAATAATTTGTTCCTGTAAAACAGACTTATTAAGGTTGTTGATCAAGTCTCTCTTTCTTTCTAGCGTAGATTTGTAATGTTTATATTTTTGTAGATGTTCGATCCTTTGTTCATCAAATACCGCTAATAGGTCGTTCGTTTCGCTTATTATTCGTCGTACATGTGTTTTGTGTGCTGCTCTTGACCTCTTGTCTCTCTCCAGGTTTTCTGCCATTGTCTAAATTGCCTCAAATCCACCAAATGTCTATTGTTTTGCCCTCGGTTCCCAGAACAAACACTGGACTTCTCGCTGTGAATTCTTGCTCAATGTTATCAAAATTTCATCTTTCCGATCCGGCTCGAAGGACCATTTACTTTATTTCTACTCTCACACTGGTTGGAAAGTGTTTGTTTAACTTTAATAACTTCAACTCAACGCATAGTTTACGAATATATATGTTTCTCTATAAATTTACACTCATCACTCTCATACAATGGCTCAAGCACATGTCCAGTCCCGGCATGCAATACCTTTTCAAGATAAATATCCTATTTATCCTAATCATGTCCCTAAGTCCATAAATATCCTACAATATACTCGGTAAAATATAATAAGACTGATTTGAGTTTTGTGTCATTTCATAATATAAGTTTAGGTCAGGTTATAAACTCAGGAAATTGTGTATTTGTTTTGAAATAGCGAGGGATTGTGCATGCATGTATTTCTAGTAAGTGGGAGTGTATAAAATAAAGTGAAATGAGATTGTCAGGATGTAAAAATAAAACATTGTGTACTAGTGTAAATTATTTCTTAATGTGTTAGGGTATAAAAGTTAATTAGCACCAGTGAGAAACTTTTCAAACTTGTGTTAATAACTTGTGTGTTACTTAACCTTAAGGATGGTGACATTGTTAACCTAGATGTTGGTAAGCCCATAAGCAATGATATCAGGTCTTATGCATTCCAAAATAGTGCAGTCCCAGGAAGCTCTAACACACAGGACTTGGGTGTTATTTCTGGTGATCTCCATGAACCCAGGGGTCTGGGTGACATTGAAAAGCAGCAGTTGAGTGAAATGTTCCCATCTTGCCCCATACATGTCCTGATTGAAGCATCAGAAGAGTCTACTCTTAACTTGGCAGTGGATTATGTAATGAACCACTTTTCTTCAGATCCTATATATATACTGCAGCCGCTACAACCACTTCCTGGAGCCCCAACACGTTTATCAGTGAGCAGATATTCAGTTTTCGCAGACAGCGTATCACATTTCAAACAAAGAAACTTTGATTTCAAGAAACCATTAAAAATTACATTTGAAGACGAACCAGCCATAGACGGTGGTGGGACCCAAAAGGGAATTCTTCACCTTACTTCTTCGTGAATTGTTATCCCCATCAGCAAATCCACGTCTTTTCGAGGGACGAAATGGTATTTTCCTACCAATGCATAATACAGACGCACTTAGATCAAACTTGTATAAAGTAGCAGGACGACTTGTTACTGCATCAATCATTCATGGAGGGCCTAGGTTTCTTTACTTCCCGAGAGCACTATTTGAGTATTTCCAAAACCCCAAACCTGATGACATGGTTGATTTCATTAGTCAAGATGATGTTGTGGATGGGGAATATGTTGATGCCCTTACAAAGGTATGATATCACACTACTATCCTGATTTTGGATTCAATGTTACTGTATTACTATGATACAGCATTTACATTTGGTGGGTGTTACATCATCACAGGTTAAGTAGTGAATCTAATCAGTTTGATCTGTGTATTCCTGTCTATAAAATTACAAATTCTAATTCGAAACCTACAAATTCTATAGATTCAGAAAAGATTTATAAAAAAATATCATTAGCTGGCCTAGTTTACATTATTTTTTTCAAATTAGTTGGATTCGCTAACAGATGAAAACAAGGCAACAGTGGCCATGGATGTCCAACCATTGTGAGTAGAGGCTGGCTTTCCTCATGCTTTAACGCTAGAAAATCGGTTTCAAGCAATTACCTCATCGTGTCTTAATGCAGTCATTCTGTCAAGGAAAGCTGAACTTGACCAATTTCTGCTTGGTCTAAGCCCATTGATCAACCTCATTAAAAAAACATCCAATCATGATGGAGCCACTTTTTGTGGCAGGTAGATTCCAGCCACCAACAGCTGAAGACATTCTTTCGCTTGTTCAATTTGATGACTTTGTTGAAGATCATTTTAAGGACTATTTCACTCAATATATTTCATTGGAAAGTGAGTTTCCACACTACTTATTTTTATTGGTGTGAACGTTTTTAGGTGTCTTTGTGTTTATTACTTGGCATATACATATGGTATGCAACATTAAAGCTCTTGTTTTCCTATATTTCCTACAGCCTCAAGAATTCCTTGTGTTTTGATGTTTGCCACTGGGTCAAACACAATCCCACCAATGGGTTTTCACCCATCCATCATCACAATTTTACAAATTGCATCGGTTTTGCCAAATGCCAACACTTGCCCACTCGAATTAGAACTACCAGGCAGAGTTAAAAGTTTTGAGGAGTTCAAAAAGAACATGGACTGTGCTTTAAATTTCCAAGGAGAAGGATTTGGAATTGTATAAAGAGATACAATGAATACTAGGAGTCACTGAAATGGATAAGACTGAAGACTGATTGTGTTACTTTTATTGTTTTGTTATATTGGGAAAGTTTTCTTGTTTTGTTATATTATGCCATTTAAAATGATTTTATGGCTGTTAAGAGTTTCGGAATAGAGTAGCATGGCCTTGCTATACAAGCTTTGTGTTATTATTACTCATTTCATCCAAATCGATTGCTTTTGGAATCACTAAAATATTACTATAGTGAACCAAATTGTCAGTGTGCCTGTTCTACTGTTTATTTATAGGTAGCCCAACCACAATGTCACACTAGAGCATCATAGACTCTGTTGAGATTTGAACACTTGTGGTTTTCATAAGTGCCTAATAGTAACTAAATTTAAACATTTACTTAACTGCATACTATTTGTCAAACTTTGAAATAAAAGTAGTTTGTTATAGTTTGTTTGAATTCAAATGAATGTTCTATTTGCTCTAATACTACTAAAAAAGCTACTATACCGTCTTTGTCACCTGCCTCCCTTAATATGCGAGCAATTTCTTTATAGTTCTGAGTTTGTTCATCTGTTATGTTTACTGTTGAAACGGGCACTGTAACGCTATAATTTGTCTGTAGTTCTGCAGCTGGGCCATCCTCTTCAATTCCAAATTCATTCCAGTCTATTTGTAACCCATCTTGCACACTAGCCACAGCACTATAATTAGTGTTAATGTTATTCACCATTCCTTGCACCCAAAGCTGCCTTGGGCTGAGATTTCTCTCTGTGGTCAAAGGGTGGAAGTTCCATGCATCACTCAATTCTTGTAGTGCTTGGTTGACAAGGGGGATATACACCTGGTGTAAAACAAACAAATGGACTTCATTTGTTGTATCAAGAATTAGTGATTCAAGAAAAGCAAAAATATTCACAAATCTACTACATACTATCGAGTTTACTTGATCGAGTTTACTTCACGCCAAAGTCTTTCGATACGCTGATTGTTAACAGACGTCCCAGTTATGCAGCTGCCTCAATTCAAACCCCTGGATTGTAGCATGAATCGTGTAACTTCTATATTCTCTAACCCCAAATATGTATGCACATGTGATGGTAAGTTATACAGATCAACTGCTGCTCGGAAAC